CAGCTTTTCCTTACTTATTTCCCAATCTCTAAAGTTCAACATTTGAATTATGCTACGTCGCCCCATATCACTTACGCTTAGGTCCCACCGGAGTTTGGGAAGAAGCTCTCTAGAAGGTAGGAGAGAAACCCACAAGTCCTTCCCAAAGAGTGGAAGAAGCTCTCCTAGCCGGAGAGAAGCCCGCAAGCCGAGTCGTTGGTGTCTGACCCATGCACCTATGTACCTCGTAGAACATGTACGGGACAACAAAAAAAGCCAATGAGGGCAAAGAGGTATGCAAAGTACATGGCAAATATGATCATAGAGTTTAGGGATTTAGGCTTAATAATCTTTATAAGCATTAACCTTTATATATTATTCTTTACTGGAGAGTTGAGGAGGGAGTAATATAGGTTTGTATTCCATTCGTTGTGCTTCAGGTGACAGACTGAAAGCTGATTTAGAGCAAAGAATTTTAAAAATTTTGCGTGCATACCATACAATTCTCATGTATTTACATTTCTAACGCCTAAGTTCTCATATTTACATTTACAGAACCAAAGTCATAAAGTTATGTATGAAAATATGTATTTTGCTATTAAAAGGTAAATAATAGCGATTTGTTTTTATATATAATTTTAAAATTTTGAGTGGTATTAATGTAAATATGAAATTTTAGATGTTCGTTATGAAAATGCATAAGAATTGTGTGATATGTATGAAAATGCGCTTCTTTCATCGTTAATCTTGGGAATGCATAATACCATCAAATGCTCCTTATGTTTGTTGTGAGCATGACATGCTAATTAAATTTGGATCTATTTTGGGTATAGGGACTGAAATTGGATTCACCAAATACTACTAAAATGTACTTTGATTATTTACCTGCACACGACACAATTCATATGTATATACATATCTAACTCTTAAAAGTTTGATTATTTACCTCCGCTTGATGTGGTGTAGATTCCCTTACAAGGAACTTTTCTTTTCTTATGGTTATTTTTCTATTGTAGCCTTCAGCATAGGGAACTAATTCCCCTTTCTAAGCAATCACATCTCTCTTTCTCTAAGCTCCTTTTTGCACGAGCATAGCTCTAATCATGTCAACCAAGTCAACCGCTGGCTTATTTCGGGCTTCTCCAACTCAAAAATTAACGGATTCAGACATGTTATTTATGTTAGAATAATTTTTGGTTTCGACGTTAAAACCACTTCTATGCCATATATAAGGCAATGAATTAAGTAGGAGTGAATCTGTAGAGAAACACTACAAATTTCATCCATCTTACTATCAAACATAGTCTACGTGTACACATTAGCTGCCGATCATATGAAAATTTTAACCATATGGTTGTCGTTACAATAAAAATGTTTATTCAAATTCTTTCAAAGATGATGTCAACAAATTCTAAACTCAGTATTTAGACAAACGATCTTGATGATCTTTTCCAAACCATTTTCCACATCTTACATAAAAGCTAGATTTTGCAAATCAAGCCCAATAGAAGCTGACAATCATTATAAAAATCATTTTCAAGTAGTTTTCGATTCAAATTCTATAACTACGAAGGCTAAAGTGAATAAATTGTTATCATCATCTAGTATATTTTATGCTAATAAAATACCCAAGTATTTTCACTTCAGATGATATGTATCAAGCTCGATCAGAGGTTTGCAATCTGCTAAGAAGCCATCAATGCAAACTTTAAAGCTTACAAAAATCTTTTGAAAAAAGATTAGTACTGTTGCAGTGTATGCAATATATGATCCCAAATTATGCTAATCAGCTCAGCTTGTAAGGCGGGAAACCGTTTGTAGTTATCATATATTGATCAAAAATATTATTGCAAGCTTCCTCTCATGACCTCCATAAAATCATGTATGGTAGTGATAAGCCATACATATTCACTAATGTATATTTGATATTTTTTGGAGTAATGTTACACTTTTTCTTACAACATTTGTAATATGTTGCGCCACCCAAGATGAAGTTGCCACTTTGTTACTTGTCTGATTCACCCTAGGGCATAAGTGGGTTTCATATATTCTTTTTACTTCAAAGGATTGCTCATCTGTTGTAATTCAAACATGCACTCTCTAAGGGCATCCTCTACGTGAACATTTGACTATAACTCGGCGTTCGTTACAAGATTAGATTTTCACTTCAAAGTTATTCTTAATGACATAGGATCGAATAGAATTTTTGAAAGCTAGAAAATCCTTAAAAATAGCACCAACTATAAAATCTTTAGAACCTCCATAATTGTCGTTGTAAATGTCAGAAACTAAATCTACATCTAATGACGTATTGGATCATTTATAGGTACATTTCGTGAGTGCATCATCACTTCCGCACTTTCTTAAGTTAGAACCACAATCTCAACTCGGCTTCTCCCCTTTAAACTTGCACTCATTGCAAGAACATCATCATCACATGCATGTAAGTTATAATCTTTTGGTGTAGCTCCAATAATATGATAATAGAATTTGAACTGGTGCTCGTTTAGCCAACTATAAATCTTTTTAATCTCTTCTTCTAATGAATGGAGTTTCAACGTAATTTTTTTTAATCTTCATAGTTCTCTGCTTGCCCCCATTATACGTCTTCCTCTTTTGGTTTTTGACTTGAGTCCAATATGCACCAAATTGAAAAGTTGTATGCAAGTGCTCATTTATATCAAGTTGCATATCCAAAATTTGAAATGATGGCCACTTCCTTAGAAGCGAAGTAATTAAATCAAAAGATAATGCGTGATGGCTAATGTGTGTAACCTAATTACTTCTCCAATGAAGGAATGTTGTACGTCCAAACAGAACTATCGGATTTATTTGGACATTTGTTTCCTAATGATATCGTTATTTCGGTGGCTTTATCATGCCACTATTATCTTTCTCGTCACATGAAGAATACCACTATTTTAGCTTTTAATAATCGAATTACATGCATAGGTACAAGGGCATCTATAAGTAAGAAAATTGAAGTTTAGGTGTTTGATATGTAAATACATAGAAATCAGGTGATATATATGAAATCTTTCTAGCTAAAAACGATTCATGTAGGAAAACTCATTTGGTTAGTATACATTTTCTCATGATTCTAATGAGAAAAGATTCCACAATTGCAAAAGATATCAATTCAATTGTGACCAGAGTCTTTTAACCATGCTCACCGCACCATAATGATTCTCTCAACTTGCTACATGATTTAATTTTCTGCCATTCAACTTAAGATAATAACAGAACCATAAAAAGATCAAATCAATTGCTATGACATCGAATCAATGTAGATTAAGTGGCTTTGAAATGATTGTTGACAGGCAGATGACTAGCAGAGAACATAACCTACTAGAAAATTAAGGAAGATTTACAGGCATGCTACTCAGTGTTTATGTATTTACATATCTAGCATTTAAACTTTAAATTGTGTACATAAATATCACCTTTCATGCCTCTCCAACAAACGGAATCATTTCCAGCAAATGAGGCAGGCTAAAATCTCACAGAAGGGTTAGAAGTAATAAGCAATCCTCTGCAAAAAGACTTACCTTGCGTCAGCTAGGGATCGTTGCAGAGGATTGTCAACTGGACCTTCTAGGTGTGTTTGATGGAGGAAGGAAACGCTTGATTTGACGGGGCATTTGCAGCTCTCGAATGAAGGAAGGAGGCTCTCGATTCGGCGACGTGTTCACAACTGTCCGCGAAGGAAGGGGGCGTTGTCTGTAGCCTTCTAGTGAATGAGAGATGGTGAGCTTCGTTTGACATACGCGGGACGTACAAGAACTGTTGGAGGGAAAATGGTGGTTACGGAGGCTTATGGAGAAGGTGACAAGGGTTACAGAGTGCTCCTTTCACCGTAAAGCAAAAGTTTTGGTGTTTTTTATGTAAAATATTGTGTTTCGGGTGCTTCACATATAAATACTTCCTCCTTTTTTTTTTTTTTTTTTTTTTTTTTTTTTTTTTTTTTTTAAAAATTTTATA